GCAAGCTGTCGACTTGAACATGCAATTCCAATTCCCTCCGAGTGCATACGTCGCCGGCCCCATTACCCCCGCGACACCAATCATCTATGGCAACGGTACCATGCTGTCAGATATCGGGGAGGTAACTGAGGCCGAGAGCACGCCGGGTAAGACCTCGCGTCCATCCTCTATGATCTGGACAGGGCGCGTCAGCCGGATTCCCGACGAGCGATTCCCCTCGCCGACGAAAGCGTACGAGAGCATCAAGCAGCGGGCGCGCGCGCACGAGCGACGATCCTCGGTCGAGTCCACGAGCACGATCACTACTACACAAGACCACAACGTGTTCGCCGACTTTGACGACGCTGTCAGCGTAGATGATAGTAACTTCCAAGGCGACGATGAGGAGAGCGTCGCGGAGTCGTACACAGATGATGTGTCCGTTCACAAGGCCCATGCCATCTCTAAACCTACAAGGACATCTCTTAATGATCCAAATAGGTACTCAACCGCATTGATAAGCCGAAGGGCTGAGCAGATTCTTGCAAATGCCAAGCGTAGACTCACTGTAAGTGCCCTCGCGAGCATTGATCGGGCTCGACTAACACAGATAGACGATGGAGGGTAATCTGTCGAGAGCACGAAGCTCGTTGAGCATCTCAACACCCTCGATGTCTTCATTCGACGGCACCGGCTCCACACCGTCCCCGCCAATGATGCGATCTACTTCTTCCGCGACATCCCCGAGCTCTGCGCATGGGCACGCCCGAATGATGAGCGATTCCTCCATCAACACCGAGTTGGTGAACTCTGGTGCTGTCCCGAGGAGGTCTGCCAGTGCAATGGGTGCTGCTGGAGGTTACCGGCAGCCTATTTCTACGCGCAAGATCACCCATGATGCGGCTACGCTTGAGCGCTTGAACTCTGGGCGGGACAATCAGCCGCGTTACAAGGCGGCTCAGGAAATTGGCTTAGACACTCTAGGTGAGGATGAGATATCCACGGAATTCCATTCCGGAAGCGATAGCACCACCAAGCGAGACAGTCTTTTAGGTCCGGCTCTGGGTGGCCCCACGAAGCCACCATTGACACGCTCTGCGTCGGCAGCGCAAATGCGCGATCTGAAGGATCAAGTGCTGGATCTTAAAGGCAAGATTTCATCCTTGAGAGAACAGGCACGGGTGGATACCATGCGCCGACGCAGCCTTCAGAGCTTGCGAACCCCCAGTCCCTTTACTCACGCCCAGGTTGACCAATGGTATGCCGGTTCTCAAAAGCAGTCTCCGACCGAGCCACTCACTGCGACGTCGGAATTGGCTCCGTGGCATGAAGAACGCGCGCCTAGCGTCAACGGCGAGATACAGACGAAAGAGACAGAGGTGACCCTCGAGGGGCCTCTCGAGGGGCCCATTGAGAACACCCTCGAGGACACCCCAGAGGAGCTTCCAATCAGGGATGATGAGTCGGTTGTTGGAGACTACGAAGCGGCGCAAGAGGCGGTTCGCCAAGAGGAGCGCCAGAAGGCCCTCGATGCGATGGAAGCAAACGCCCACGTCGAGCCTGACGATGACATTTCCGATATGCATACAGAGGATGGCTTTGAGGACAGTGTGCAGGTACAGGAAGAAGACGGATATGAGAGCGAGAGTGGAGACTCTCTGTACCACGACACCTACCAAACTCCTGTGTCACATGAAGACCGAGAGGATGCATTCGACTACGAGCACTTCTTCCTTCACAGCGCCATGGGCACTATCAGCCAACAACGGATGGCCCGACAGGGAAGCCGCCGCGGAAGTTTCAGTTCTGAGGACTCTGTCGAAACTACCCGTGGACCCATAACCTCCGACGAGTCGATCCGGCCCAAGCTCCACAACAGGCGAGGCAGCGGCGACACGACATCGACCATGGATTCCTTCGCGACGGCCAACTCAGGCCGAGCCAGTCGAGTGAGCGCCAGTGGTAATGAGGAAGACGTGAGACAAGGCGTTCTTACACCTCCAAGTGTGAGCCCTATCAGCGAGCGTACAGAGAGCCCCCCAACTGCCAAACGATCTGTTGTGGGTAGCATCAACGGCGGCGATGTGCTTGAACAGATGCGAACCAGGGCGCGCGCGGGCTCCATCGCTTACCGTCGCCCCATGAGCACTCAGGCCACGATGGGTCACCGGCCATCGACTGCGTCTTTCGACTCAACTGGGACTAATCGAAGCTTCCCGTTGGTTGGCAAGGCCCGTGTCAGCGTTGGTGGGGTCCTCACGCCACAGGGCTCTCCCGAACTGGAACTGCGAACCATTTCGGATGCTATCATGAGCGAGACGGCCAGCATCTGTGACAAGGAGAGCGTTGGAGGACCGGACCAGCTTGCGCCTATGAATCAGCTCGCCAAGGAGGACCAAATTTTGGTCGAACGCTTTGTGGCAAGCCTGGGACGTTGCGTCCTCGGTTTGAGTGAGTCTGGCAAGGCATCGGCAGAGAGCCGGATGTACAGGAGGCGCCTCGACACGGCGCGCAAGATTTTGGAGGGCACGGGCGAAACTTCATGAGGGGGGTCTTCTTTTGTTCAAACACTATGTTTGGGGTATCTGGGTAACCACAGAGCGGTAGGGCCGCATGGTGCGGCTACAGTGATTTGGTCAGGACATTGACATTTGGCGCGTCAAAACGAATAACTGATAATGTCAAATGAAAAAAGGCGGGAGGCTGCGGTTGAGAAGGGGTTGCCTGTGTGGTGGATGCTTCCACACTCGGCGCTGATTGACACGATTCCGTTTTCCTAGATTCGATACCCTTCTTGTACTTTTTTTTTTTATCTCCATCTCTCTCACGGCTGTGCATAAGCCATATTTTCTCTTCTTGTACCCCATTTTCCATCACAGATGGCGACACACACACATTTCCTTTGTTTAAGAGACAGTCTATGGCTGAGGGGTTGAACACCAGTGCTGGGAACGGGTATCAAGATTGGTGTGGGCGACTGTCATCGACAACAGCGCAATTTGCAATTCATGTTTTGGCAGTTTTCTGCCGGAAATTAGATGACGTCTTCACATGTGATGATGCATGGTGCTACTACGACTTTCGAGGTCTCTGGGGAATGTGTTGGGGAAGAGGCGATGGATCCGAGACCCGTGCGGAGAAGGGCGAATACGGAAGAAGCATGTACTAGACAGCGAGTGATGTTTCGGTACTCAGAGACATCTTCAAGATGTGCCGCAGAAGCCTCTTGCCGGCGTCGATACACTCTCTCTTGGCTTCGATGTAAGATGGAGCATCGAGCCTGGGGAGGAGACTGGGGTCATTATCGTACGGTCGAAGCCGAAGCTGAAGCTAGGACATAGCTTAAGCACAAGCCCATCAACATGACATATGAAAGTTTCTGTCTGCGTGCAACGTGACGAGTTTGTCACTATTTTGTTTACAAGACATATTGGTTCAAGCCTATAAACCAGTCTAGTTGCTCCCCTATGTGATGAATGGATTGCCTAGCTGGTATTGCGTTCTTTTCGTCTTCTTATTGTTAAAGCGGAGGAGGTGCAAGTGGCCAATGCAATCCCATCCAATCCTTTCAGCTGCCTACCAACCAACCCACATGTCCGGGACACCATCAGACAAAGACAGCCACCGTTATTGTTCCCCACTGAAAATAACACGACAACCACTGCTACCCCGACCGGGCTACACCGCATATCGCCAACAGGCTCGTGCTCCAAAGGTCCTGTTCTTTCTGCGCGCGCGACTACAACCTCACACCCGCACACCGCGACATTTTTGCTTTTGCTTTTGCTTGTACTGCTGCTGCGCCAAGTCTGCCACGAAGACAAGAACGGTCTGTTCACAGGCAGCCTTGCTGTTCAAATAAAGGCTCACACCTCCTCATTTGCAAAAGGATAGCCAACCGCCAGCAATAGTCAGCAATACGCAGCTACAATCCAAAGAAGGAAAAGAAAAAAAGAAAATCATACACACCCACCTTCGCGATAGGGGAGAGAGAGGGGAAAACAACAACAAACCACCACGACAGCAGCAGCAACAACCATACCGATCTCCCGTCAACGCATCCAAAGACACTCACGACAAATGTCCAAAATGGCCGAGCCCTCAGTTGCAAACTTCGTCCTCCGCTCCCTCCTGCCCCCAGAGGCCGTCGACTTCATCCACAAAAACGCCCTCCACCCCTCCTCGCCGCTCCAAGTCGCGCGCCAACACGCCGTCCTCGCCGCCTGCCGCGCCTTCGACACGCTCTACCCCTACGTCGCCCCGGCCGTCGACACGACCCTCGCCTACTTGCAAGATTCCCCCGAGCTGGTGTCGTTCGGCATCCTGCTGATGCTGCTGGCCGCGACGGTCGTCGTGCTCAACTGGATCCGCCGCATCGTCGCCTTCTGGACGGCGCTGGTGCTCAGGGTGGCCTTCTGGGGCGCCGTCGTCGCCGTGCTGGCCGCCGTCGTGCAGAGGGGCGTCTGGGAGACGGCGAGGGACGCGGTCGTCGTGGGCGGCAAGGTTGTCGGCTTCGCCGCCGCGGTGAAGGACGTCTGGATTTCGGAGTACAAGAGATACGAGGAGGAGACGCAGTCCCAAGGGAGGAAACTCCGGTGAATGGGGAGATGGTGTCGCGGTAGGAAGGGTTTTGTGCAGAGTATGTTGGAAAGACGATACGCGTCCAGGCTGTCTTGCAGAGTCTACGACAGTGAAGATGATGGCGTGTCATGGAAGTCACTTTGGGAGGATACTCCAGATTGGGTATACAGGGCCCCCCCGCATGAAGAGACGAAGCAGCATGATCGCAGCCGAGGACGACGGCACATGCGATACAGGATTACAGAGGAGCAACGTCTGGCCCACTTGCCAGACGGATACGATTATGAATGAGTCAATGTAAATCAAAACCAACGCCAGCGCTATGCAAGCAGCCAAGTCCCTTTACTACGTCGCGACCTGTCTCGCCTCTCGGCCCGTCTCCCCTCCTCTTATGGTATATTCTCTCCATGACCAAAAAATGCCCCAAACACACATGATCCTTATTCGTCGTTGTCCTCCTGAGGCTCGTACTCATCGTCGTGCATTTCCTTGGGCTCTTGCGCTTCGTGGTACTGGATGATATCGTCAATGTAGCTGAGAATGGCGCCCACGCTATCCTCGTCCGTGACGTCCAGCTTGAGGTAGTTGACCATGCTGAAGCTCTCAATCAGCCCGGCCACGGCCTTGTTCAGCCTCTGGAAGCTCTTGCCCCGCATGACGAGGTCGCGGTCGTGGACCTCGCCCCTCCCGTCGTCGAGCTCGCCCGAGGCCGCCGCGACGGGGTCGTCGTCGAGCAGGTCCGAGCCGGGCGTCAGGAAGCGCTTGAGGTCCTTCTTGCGCACCTGGTCCTTGACGAGGTCCATCTTGGACAGCACGTTGAGGTGGGGGATCTCGAGCATGATCATGGCGGACATGGCGCTCAAGGTGCCGGCGAAAAACTTTGCGCGGTCGACGACGAAGGTGGCCTCGAGGAGGTAGGCGGCGCAGAGGCGGATGTCAAGGGAGCCCGGCTGGGAGAGGAAGCGGGCGAGGGCGGGCAGGATGGGGATGTGGGTGTAGAGCTCGATCTGGCCGGGCATGTCGAAGATGATGAGGTACTCCTCTGTCAGGTTGTCGAGGGCCTCGGTGAGGAAATCGAGGTTCTCCATGAGGAACTCGAAGCAATATATGAGGCCGCCGTTGGGGCCCAGGCCGACCTCTTCCATAGCATCGTGGAGGGAGATGAGGTCCTTGATGTCGAGGTCTGGAGCGTGCTCGAAGGACTCGGCGGCCGGGTCGAGGTTGACGTAGAAGGCGGAGCGGCGGTTGAGGTTCAGATGGGTGATGAGGGAGGCGCAGAAGGTGGACTGGGAGGGAACGGCGTCAGCAGAAGCTATCGGGGTCGGAATCGGCCTGGAGAGGAGGCTCAGTCGACGGCCTGTAACAGCCGGGGACGGAGGTAGCTCCGTGGCTGAGACCGAGACTCGGCACGGAGCGTGTAAGGTATGGAGAGGGACGTGTTTGGGATGAAGTGAACTCACCTTGCCGGCCCCGGCGGGGCCCATGACCATCACGCCGTACTTGCTCATTATGGCGTGTAAGGGTGTGGTAGACGGAGAGACTGATGGGATAGCGGGCGGGAATGCAAGGGAAAGATAGTTCAGGCACAGCGGGAGGGACGGGAGTGGGAGAGAGTTTGTTGACTGTCCGGTTCTCTGCACAAGTTTGATGCTGATTCAAGGATCGGCCAAAAAAAAAAGTCACTGTCGGACGTTTTGGAGGAGGGCAATTTTTCTATGGATTACCCCGCCATGCAGGAACGGGCGCGCGTCAAGGGTCGCGGTGATCGGCCGTTCGCGCGCGCCACCTCGAGAGTCGGTCAACTTGGTATAAGGTAAGGCAGTGAAGGCTAGACGCAAAGACCGTGGCTTTTACGACGTGATTGAAGCACAAGAATGTCGTATGCAGTCTGTAATCGGTGGCCGGGGTCTTGGGTGATGGAGGGGAAATTTTTTTCTGATTGATAGCTTGCGATAAGGCTGGCATTTGACTAGGTACCTGACTGGTGACTGACTGCAGCTGGCCTTCTCTTTTTTTTTTTTCCCTCTGTTTTTCCCCTCGTTGCTCGCCGGTCGCCCACTCAGAGCACAATGGGCGGCCACACGGCTTGCTGCGGAATTTCGGTCCAATGCCGTTCGCACGTGTGAGGCGCGAGAGGGGCACATTCTCACCACCCAGATTAAGGATTTGCTACAGTAGAGCTCTGCGTCAGGCTTAGCTCCGTTTCGACAGGGGTTTCTCAGTTGTCTGACGATTCAACAATGTCGACAAGTCCCTCTACACCCCTGCTGCCAGAGCATGCGCGGGAGAGGTACACACGTTGATGTATCAGAGGGATGGCCGAGAAGATGGGGGCGCAAAATCACAGTTCTCTCGGAAGGCGAGTTCTGCGAGTCCTGCAGGAGAGATGCACCGAGGGAGTCAACGGCCAACAGGTTGAAGGAAGGGACTTTACACTGCGTCAATTAGTACCGTATGCCGCTGGAGTGTTGCCTGCCATCCGGCGCGTGCCGTTGCATATCTGGGGGCGAACACGGATTTCCTTTTCCCTCAGGAAAGGGATCTTTGTGTGTGTGTCTATGGCGCAGAGGAAGCGGCGCAGTTGGACTAATTGCTGACCCAGAGACTCTGCAACAGGTTGTCAGACAATGCATTGGTGACAGGGCGAGACCGGGCGAGTCAAAAAGACAATAGAGTTCCAGAGGGTTTCAACTCCGTGATTAAACAGAGCAATTGCGCGATGGGTTCTTCAGCTGGAGGCGAGCTTGAGGCGGCACGGAAAGGACAGGCAAGCAAACCTTGATAGACGAGAGCAGTAGAAAAACGAAACACTTGAGCAATTGGGAAGCCCGAGCTCCTTCGGGCAAACGAGGATGAGGGACGGCGTTGAGGTGTGCATCCCAGTCACTGTGTAAATCCGACGCTGGAGGCTGGGCCGGCCCCGGACACGCTGCTACGTGGTGGAGGACCTCGACACCACTTCCCTTCCACCCCCAAGTTGGTGACTGTTACTGGCTCTTGCAGCGGTCTATTGGCATTGTTAGGTGGCCTCAAGAGGGGCAAGTGAAATGCTGGAAGGCGGTCAAGGGAGAAAGCCGTGAGGATGGCGCAATCTGGAGAATTTTGGGTCCCCCCTCGACATGGCTTTCGACAGGGCTGGTACATAGGGATGGAGGGGTCGGCGGGATGCAGTACATGCCCCTCCTGCTCGCCTTGTATGCGCCATAAAGTACCTTGCCTCTCCTCCGGCTCTCGGTGCAGGTCTCCCACGAATAGTGCGTCAAATCCGCTTGAGCTTTTGACAGAGGCAGAGGGGAGAGCGAGAATTTCTTCCCAACCGTCCCAAGGTGCGCACTCTTCTTTTAAAACCCGAACGGCCACATCTCCCACTCCTATTTTTTGATCTCCTTTCCCTCACTACACTCGTCAACTTCACCTCGTCCATTATCCTTCTAGGTAAGCCAATTGATCTCTGCAAGGCAGCCATTGAGCTTTCCGGGCTGTGATTGCTTTTGCTCCACCATAGCAACCACGAAAGCTAACCCCTCAACCCAGAAGTAGCTCTTTTCCTGCTATCTCGGTGCCCCGCGTCGGTATATTTTCACCGTACCGAACCTATCCCTCACGACATCTTCCACCCATTTCTTCACCTCATCCTTTTCCAAACCCCCCAAAGCTACAATCACACAATGTCTGCCAACGGAGTCAACGGCACTGGCCGCCACTACAACGAGGGCACTTTCCTCTTCACCGTAAGCATCTCTCCGCGCTTCCCAACAAACTGCTGAGGCGGTCTGGGATGAGAAAATCTCCGATCCCAGGTTAACCTTTCCGGTGTAGTCCGAGTCCGTCGGTGAGGGTCACCCCGACAAGATCGCCGATCAGGTTTCCGATGCCATCCTCGATGCCTGCTTGGCTGAGGACCCCCTCTCCAAGGTCGCTTGCGAGACTGCCACCAAGACCGGTATGATCATGGTCTTCGGTGAGATCACCACCAAGGCCAAGCTCGACTACCAGAAGGTCGTCCGCAAGGCCGTCCAGGACATCGGATACGATGACTCCTCCAAGGGCTTCGACTACAAGACCCTCAACCTCCTCGTCGCCATTGAGGAGCAGTCTCCCGATATCGCCCAGGGTCTCCACTACGAGCAGGCCCTCGAGCAGCTCGGTGCTGGTGACCAGGGTATCATGTTCGGCTACGCCACCGACGAGACCCCTGAGCTCTTCCCGCTCACCCTCCTCTTCGCCCACAAGCTCAACGCTGCCATGTCTGCTGCCCGCCGCGACGGCTCCCTCCCTTGGCTCCGCCCCGACACCAAGACTCAGGTCACCATTGAGTACAAGCACGACAACGGTGCCGTTATCCCCCTCCGTGTTGACACCGTCGTCGTCTCTGCCCAGCACTCTGAGCAGATCACCACCGAGCAGCTCCGCAAGGAGATCAAGGAGAAGATCATCCAGAAGGTCATCCCCGAGAAGTACCTTGATGACAAGACCATCTACCACGTGAGTAACGTTCAGTCGCTTGTTTCAACTGCAGCTGCTAACCCTCCCACAGATCCAGCCCTCTGGACTCTTCATCATCGGTGGTCCCCAGGGTGACGCCGGTCTGACCGGCCGCAAGATCATTGTCGACACCTACGGTGGCTGGGGTGCCCACGGTGGTGGTGCTTTCTCCGGCAAGGACTTCTCCAAGGTCGACCGTTCTGCTGCCTACGTCGGCCGCTGGATCGCCAAGTCCCTCGTCGCTGCTGGCCTCGCCCGCCGTGCCCTCGTCCAGCTCTCCTACGCCATTGGTGTTGCTGAGCCCCTCTCCATCTACGTCGACACCTACGGCACCTCCGAGAAGACCTCCGACGAGCTCGTCCAGATCATCCGCAACAACTTTGACCTTCGCCCCGGTGTCATTGTCCGCGAGCTCTCTCTGGACCGCCCCATCTACCTCCAGACCGCCAAGAACGGCCACTTCGGTACCAACCAGACCTTCACCTGGGAGCAGCCTAAGGCCCTCAAGTTCTAAGCGGCTTGAGGTGACGCGCCATCATGGCAGCGCTGGACCGAGCAGGATTCCTTCAACAAGCTTCCTGCATTGCAACGACCTAGACGTTTATAATAATTTTGATATTCATGCGGACAGGCACTCAAACATGGCGTACGGTTCTCAACGAATCCCGGTTCTAAGCCTTTGCGGGTAAAGGCAACACGAGGTCTTATGGGGTAGGGTTTTCTTTTTTCACCAGGTGTTCTCCAAAAATTATGGTCAAACGGGAGCGGTGGCGTCTTTCAACAAAGACAAACGAGCGGGAAACAACAGGAGCATATCCTGTTGCGACATCTTTTTGATTTTTCCTTTTCCTTTTTTTCCGACTCTGAAAAAAGAGCGAATGCATTATGAGAGATACCCTTCGGAATGTTCGAAAGGGGCAAATAAACAAAGCATCTACATTGGCGTTAACGGGGAAACAAAAGAACTTCAACATCTTTTCTTTCCTGGTTTTCTAGCCGATCCATCTCTTGCGGTTATGGCACAATGGCTGGGGCTGAGAGAAAGGGGGTGCGCCTTCTGGCGGCTCTATGGGTGTGGGGAGGTTTGTAGATAGGTAGACCATTTGGCTACTCGAATAGAGAGAGATTCTCGGATACCTCGCGCCGTATTCTTCCACAACGTGGTGCGTCCGGAGACTGCCTATTTTTCCTGTGCTAGAGATACTATATTTCCCGTGTGCTAAGTTACTCCGACCAGGGACCACAGTAGACGACGACGAGAGACGATGATAACGACAGCGATCACAACGACGAGAACGACAATACTAGCTATAAAGTGTCGCTATAGCACAGCAAAATTAGGCAGTCTCGATCCTTGTGATCCTGCGTAGAGCTCACCGCTTCATAGAACTTTGAAGGCAAGAAATGTCGTCGTCTTGAGAACCAAGTCTCAACACTGAAGGGGACACTTGTTTCTCAACGGCATGACGCACAGCGCACGCCATGCCGCCAACCGTTGCGTCTAACCCACCCGGGTGGACGGTCTCAGAATGTATGTTGGTCTGAGCTCTGGGCCACACTCATCGGAGTCAGCTCCGCGTGGGGTAGGTAGTCTTGGTAGTCTCGCAGAGACGTCTGGATAGGTTCGCGATGGCGTGCTTTTGGGATGTGGCCCATATATGCGCCACTATCTCAATATCTGGTGGAACTCGGGCTGTCGTACGCCTCCACTGATATCTACGTCTAGGCAGACTAAAGCTTAGAGTTGAGTCATTCATAAAGGCCAGTCCAGCACCCCTTACCACCCTCGAATCTCCTCTAAAGCAGTCCTAGGGAAAGCCTTCGACTAGCTCATTAAGAAATTGTTACAAAGTCGCTTGAGGCCGTGACGACGCAGATTTAGAGCAAGAAATGTTTCAAGGCCGGCCCTCGATATTCTAAAGGAAAACTTCCGATATGTAAGCATTCTTCTCGTTGCCCATAGTTCAGAAGACATCATGGCTTTGTTAAGAATGAATAAGTGCACTCCAAGCGTAGGACAAATGAAGGGTAAAGTGAAAATGAGCAGTAGTTCTGCTACCTCTATCACCACCGCAAAGTTGCGCAAGTTAGAGGAAAGGGGGCTAGTGGCAGGTGACCATCATACTCAGTCTTTCATGCTGAAGGCGCGGAAAACCGCTAACAAGGACATTGAAGGCATTCTTTCAAACCGCCTCGACACGATGGACCACCTATCTCAAGGCCTGGCATGATTAAGGCAGTGAGGCCGACTTCTTGGGGCTGATTTTCAGCTACTTACAAATGAATGTGCAATCCATCCAGAGCCCGTAGACTCGAGCTGCAAAACGTCCAGCTGAGCCAACGGCTTTTCTACTCGTCAATGTCTCAAAGCAAGCTACGTGGCATATTCCGGTAGCAGTAGCAGCTGAATTCAGTCCTATTTACTAGCGCCAGCGTCATCATACCTGCTCAAGAGCATCAAAGCCTCGAGCCGACCGCTGAAAGACACTCAAAAATCATTCATCGAGAGTTACGGCCGGAGCATCCTCCGTTGACCGTCTTCCTTACATGATGACAATTCGATGGACGACGAATTTCCCAAACCCAACCTGAAGCTCGTACAACCGTCACGAGCCGGACCAACAAGAGAACTCCAGTCGTACCTTCTGTGATGATAATGTCGAGAAACCTTCGTACCACCCAAACAACTCAATTTACGGCCGGGGACTTTGTATCACGCTCGGTCTGGCGTCAACAACAATCGGGTCAGCACGAGCCTTGGGGCAGCCTTGCCTTTTTCAAACAAGCATTGTGTACCACTTCGCCGAACGGCAGTTTGCGTTTCTTGACACCTCGGCTGGAGAACCCCTTCCCTTGCGGTAGTCTTCTCCGGGGAAAACTGGGGAAGCAAAGGCGGTGCGACGCTCTATATTTGAGCCAGACTCATTCATATGGGAGACGTCACTGACACGCAACAGGTGGTTGCTCCGGCTTGCTCAAGACAAAGCATCTAGCTGGTCTCAGGTGGCGCTCTTGCATAGCCACCAGTCGAAAGTTTTCGAAAAGGAAGGCTTTTGGGCATCACTCGAGCCCAAGGCTGGGTGCCTAGGTAAGCGAGTGCGAGAAGAAGCGACGGTATGACAACCCCGGCACGGTGCCGGACCAGCGCTAGTATGCCTGGCACGCCGTTGTCGATCCCGGGTCTTTGGCGGCGTTTCTCTCGACGGGACTGGGGTTTGATATGGGCATCGACCCGATGGCATGGGCGTGGGTCTGGCTATGGCTCGTGGCTTGCGAGGGGAGGAGGTGCAAATCGCTGCGCCAACTAAGGGGGGTCACCGTGGAAAGACTGACATCAGCAGGGGGCATATTCTAGTCTGGCCTTCCATAGGGTGCGTGGCTTGGGTAAAGAATGATGAATGCACAACGGCACGCATGTATGGGTTTGTAGCGCGCATCATTATGAGATGGTCATCCATGAAAAAGGCAAAGGTGACTGGCATGATTTGACATGACCTGACATAATGCCCGACAGCATCGGATCAAAACAATTTGCGCCACGACTACTTGTGCCAAAGAATATACTGGCTACCCGCCCCGGGTGAACGCAGCACATGCCGTGTGTGTTTGCTCTTCTCGGGAAATGTCCGCCCCTCGTCCTGCTCTCAAGGCAGTTGAACATGGAAGCCACAGCTAATGCCTGCGTTTACATGTGTCATATGCCGATTAACGGTTAGAAAGATGAATTCCACCAGCCGAGGTTGAAATTCTGGAAATGTGTCAACCATTACAAGGCTGTCCTGGTCCCTCGTCTCTGGTCCCACGATACCAAAGGTTTCCAACAGAAGTTGGATCCTTAAGTCTCCGAAATCGACCCGGACCACCAAGTGGAAAGTAATCCTACCGCTACCTTCGGAAATGAGATTGGCCGCGGTGACTGGTGTATTCGCTGAGCCCATGCTCACCAAGGACTCAAGAATCAGCTATTCGTTTGACTGAACCATCCTCGTCGGTGGTATACATGGTGATCTGGCAGGGGCAGTGTGGCCGGCCGGGGTGGTGGACACATCCTTTGCTAGTTTTGGGGTGGCCGGAGATACGGCAGGGGATGAAGCCCCAAGAAACTGGTCAATGGAAGAGCATCCAGGCTTGCGTCAGGCCTGCTTTAGCTGTTGATGGGGATCGCGGGCTGAATTGCTTTGGCTCAGCAGGTGGCCCAGTCCACGGGCGGCCGACGGGTGTGGTTCTGGCCGCGGGGCCGGTGGTTGGAAGATGCCAGGTTCAGCGCCACGTAGACGGAGAACAATAGGAAGTGAGTGCAGGGACAATGGCAAGAGACTTCGGCGAAGTGGGGCATTTCCCGTGCCGCCCGGCGTGGTGGGCAACTTCATCCCCCAACCCCTATCCCTTGTTCCACACCATCAGCGGCGCAACTTTCCAATGACAACAATAACTTGCCGATGCATTCATCCGCGGGCCGTCAGATGTTGCCAGTTCGGGCTGTGGTGCGGCGTCTTTTCCGCGATCTCGTTTATTCATTGGATCTGTTGGTTGTAAGCCTGTGGGCATGCCAGCTTCCACGTTTCCTATCCGTGTCGAAGGACCCCCTGTTAAGAGCGGCCAAACAATGCGGAAGTGATTTTCAGGCCCTGCGTCTGCATCTGTATCAACTGGTCGTGTCACTCCATCGCGTTTCTGCATTAAGTATTGGGGCAGCCTACCATGTACGACTGCGGACAGGGGAGTTGGAATTCAAGCTAAGAACGCGGGTGGTATGGCTCACCCATGGGGACAATCGTGGGAAGCCTCCTGAACCTTGCCTCAAAGCCAGATTGAAGTTAGCAACAATGCGAGAGACATCGCCAGGGCCAACCTGTGGGACCAAACCGAACGCCTGGGGACTTCCAGGTAGAGTAAAACTTCAAGAGGGGGTTGTGCGGTGTTGATGAATACCTGAACAGGGAGATGCTGTAAGATGTTGCATGGTCAATGTCTCAAGACTGCTTGCCTTTTCAATTTTCCATTCCATTATTATGGGCGCCTACATTGTGTTTCTGGGCCGGTTGGGTGCTGATGCCTCAAAACCATGACCTAAACGTTCGGTCTTTCCTTCCTGCCCTTGTTCACTTTCCTATTTGACACATCCCCGCTACAGAAGCCGACCCTTGCTTCCGCATGGGCTGGCTTCTCAAACGTCTGGAGGTATATAATCATGTTGGAGCCACTTCTTCCACAAGATTCCTATTCTAAAGCTCACCCAACGGCATCCTTTCCGTCCTTCTTGAATGCAACCTACTTGATCGTTCAGCTCGTAGCGATTGTCTACCTGCCATCAATGTACACAGATTGCCATCTAGCAGCACCCATCTGCCTTACTTCAAAATCATCTCAACCCCGACAACTACATCACACTATGGATTCTGAAGCCCCAAGAATGCGAACCGAGCCCTTATCCAATGTGACTGGCCTTGGTTCTCCGCCAATCGTCAAAGAGGCCCGTTCATGTCCTTCAGAAGAGCCTCCAGCTTATACGCC